CCCCTTTTCTTTGATGCCTTAGAGTGATATATCCTAACATAATATGACATAACTCAGAAATGTGTCACGACGACGCCGTGAAATCAGGCTCTCGTCAATTTTTGGGCATGTGAAGTTAGTGGTATCATCTTAAAGCTTGTTCATTTGTCTTGCTTTTGATTTTAAAAATATTGAATTATCTTGAATACAAGTCTAGATATTTGCGAATGAAGTCGGTGGGGGTCACCTGGTTTCAGAGATAAAATCAATGAGAAAATGTCCTCCATAGATTTGTTATTTTCTTAACTTGAAAGTCCGTGGGAGCTGAAAATATTTACTTTTTTGTGTCTTTAATCAATGTTTTTGGGTAAAATCTACTCTGAAGTCTGCTCTTTAGTGTATATGAAAGGTGTTGAGCCAAGAAACAGAAAGTCGATGAAAATCCACAAACCTGCGGGGAAAATGCCAGTTTCTTCACCATGATTATTTCGAAGAGCGCCTGATTTCACCACACGGCATCACAAATTATTATATATAGATCTAGCTGTGTGATTCAAGGACCTTTATATTCTATTATCTATTTGTGGTGGCCGAATGTTGCTATTCAAAAGACTTTTTAATGGCTGCATCGATCGACATGCGGTTTTCTCCAAAAGATTCTTTAAAATATTCTCCAGATCATGACGCCCTTCGTTTTTTCATGCTTTTGTATGCCGACGCTTCTGTCTCTGTATTTTTAGAAAAGGAGGTTTCCGTTCACTAACCGTGCAAACTGTTTTGAGAGTATAGATCAACACCTTCTAATTGGTGCATCTCTCAAGATTTATTGCTCCATTCCAATAGAATGTAAATATCATAGACATAAGCCAATGACTTTCGGCTGACGTTAATGCACCGATCCTTCCTTTCATCGAAAGGGGGCCCTGCTAGTTCAGTTGTATTACTTTTGAAATATTCTGTCTCTTTTCTCAATAATAAATATGTATGCATAATGTAGGCTATGTATGTAGTTAGTCTCTCTCTTTCTCCTTTCTTTCTTTCTCTCTCTCTATCTCTGTCTATCTGCAGGTTTGTCTGTCTGTCTGTCTGTCTTTCTGTCACACACATGCACATCACACACACACACTCACTCACACACACCCACACACACACACACACACACACACACACACTCATACACACACACAGAGAAAATTCCTGTAACTTTCTGTGCATGTGTGTTTTTCCCATGGGTGGTTGGTGGGTGCTGTTGGTGTGGTTTGCTCCTTCCTCCCTGTCGAACATCGTTTCGCTTTTATCTCTCCCCCTCATTTTCTTTGTACGGTATGCTACTCCCTAGTAACACCTCTAATTAAGTCTAATCTTCAGCATTTGTATGACCAATTTAGTAGGTGGTTGGAGGGTGCTCTGGTGTGGTTTGCTCCTTCTTTCCTATCAAACATCTATCGTCCTTATCTCCCCTCCTTTTTTGCGTTTGTTACTCTCTTTTAACACCTCTAATCTTCGGCACTTGTATGACCTTATTGTGTTGCAAGTGCCGTAAAACTCGTACTAAAACTAAAGTGACGTAAAACTCGTAATTGTGGGTGGTTGGTGGGTGCTCTGGTGTGGTTTTCTTCTTCTTCCCAAGCAAACATCTATCGTTCTTATCTCCCCTCCTTCTTTTTTATGTTTGTTACTCTCTTGTTAACAGCTCTAATCTTCGGCACTTTTATGACCTTATTGTGTTGCAAGTGCCGTAAAACTCGTACTAAAACTAAAGTGACGTAAAACTCGTAATTGTGGGTGGTTGGTGGGTGCTCTGGTGTGGTTTTCTTCTTCTTCCCAAGCAAACATCTATCGTTCTTATCTCCCCTCCTTCTTTTTTATGTTTGTTACTCTCTTGTTAACAGCTCTAATCTTCGGCACTTTTATGACCTTATTGTGTTGCAAGTGCCGTAAAACTCGTACTAAAACTAAAGTGTGTGTTCCTCAGGTGTCCGTCCTGCTCCTACTCGGGCCTGCTGGACGATACGGTCGTCCGATTTGTCTGTGCCGGACAAAACTGCTCAGTGGTAAGGGGGAGGGGAGGGAGGAGGGAAGGGGGAAGG